TGGGAGTGGTGAGAGGAAAAGGGGGCAACAGGGGGGTGAGGGGGGGAAAGGGGATAGTAATGGGGCCTTCAGTCAAAAGTATTGGTGTGCAAGAAAGACAAGGGGAACCAGCAGTCGTTAGGATCATGATGGGGATAAAGGTTGTATAAAACTTCTTTTCAGGGTCCCTTAAAACCACCACAATCGCTTTGTGGGGTGGTATCTCCCACTCTGCCTGCCTGCACAAGCTCACTACTTAACCACATCATTTGATAGTAGTGGCAGGAAACTCTTGTGAAGTTTGGGCATCATTTCTGTGGCTTGGAGAGGTGCCATTCTGGGATAGACTTGACTAGAGCAAGGATTTAGAGCATGTGGCAGTGGGGGGAGACGCGGTGGCAAAAAGGAGCTTTCACATTTGGGAGATTGCTTAAGCTTTTTGAGCTTTGCCAGGACTTGGCTGGCAGGTTGGAACTGTGCTGCTATCCCTGTTTTCTTTCATCAGACGGGCTGAGAGAAGCATTTAATGGAAGAAAGGTTTGTGGCCAGGGGGGGGGGGAGTGCTGTGTGGGGAAGACATGTCTCTGGGATTAGAGGGGGAGGAAAGAGTTCTTCACCTTGAAACAGCTCCTGTAGTTAAAATATCTCTTTCTCTTTTCACACCAGTCTCCAGTCCAGAGCATGTGGTCTCTATTTACACACACCAGTTGCACTTCTCTCTGCCCCAACAAAGAAGTATTGAGAGACTTTCCTCACCAGGGAGATGTTCCTCCCTTTGCACTTGGTCACCTTGGGAGCAGCAGCCAAGAAGCGACTGAGAAGGGAGCCCTGGTGGGCAGTGATTAAATGCCTATACTGCAGGCTCTCACTCACAAACCAAAAGGTTGTGAGTTCAATACTATCCAGGGCTCAGATTTGACTCAGGCCTGCACCCTTCCAAGGTGAGGACCCAGCTGTTGGGGGGCAATGAGCTTACAGTTGTAAACCGTTTAAACACTGCATAGTGCGGTATGAAGCAGTATATAAATGAAGCTGCTTTGCTTTTTGCTTTCAGAAGATTCTTGCCCACATTGGCCAGCACAGGTGAGAGGCTTCTCGGTCCCTGCTCAGCCAGCTGCTCGGTTGTTGCTCCCAAGGTGGCCAAGTGCAAAGGGAGCAGTGACCAAGATTCGCTGTTTTAAATATGCAGTAGAACAGTAGACCTAATATCAATAAATAGGTATGCTAGGGTTGTCACATAAGAGGAAAGGGGGCAGCAGCCTGAAAAAGTTTGGGGACCACTGAGCTAGACCATTGACACAGAGAAAAAGGAGAGCTGGGCAGGTATAAAAAGACTTCATAAAAAGGACCTTCTTTGTCACAGTCTTTGTTAACTGAGTTATGCCTGTGAAAAGTTGTCCTGCACACAAGTGCAAAATATTTACCAGTCCACTTTTGTAAAAGTTTATTTGCTGTAACATTGGTAATATCTATCATGGTTTGTTTATAAGCGTAAGCTGTACAGTATCAGAGAGATTGTAGCACTTCAAAGCAGGAAATACCAAATAAAGGTAAATGAAACTGAAATGAATTACTTCCTAACTTGAACATTCAACATAAGTGTTTTCAGATTAGGAATGTTACTAAGAATCTCATTCCAGAAACTTGAAATACTAGAACTTCTAAATTCTGGCAGTCTATAAAGAAGAGTATCACAGAACATCTTAGAAAAATTGCTGCCGAATTTCTGGTTTACTTAATTTGTTGTTCTATATGTTTACATACCAAAGTATCTGCAGGGACCTTCATCTTTCAATCTATTGCATATGGTACAAAAATGAAAAGATGGGGGGGGGAATTGGGTGAGAGTGCTGGCAATCTTCTGTTGTGAGAGGAGGATTTATAGTCATGTGAATTGCCCTCTATGAAAAATATAGAGGATCATTTATTTATTACAAAAATATATATCCCCTCTGCATCTATGGCTGATTGGTATTCTCTTTCATTGTATGAGAAATTCTATAACAACATGCTTCCTTGTTCCAGTGACTTCCGATCCTCTCCTGCTTGCATCCTGAGCTAGAAGTACAGTACTAAGATCAGCCCGAACTGCTTTACCTAAATACAAATTGATTAAATGCATGTGAACAGTTCTTCATTGGGGGAGAATGATGCATGAACAGGTCATAGCAGGAGATGTGAAGGGATTTCATGTTGCTTTGGTCTTTTCAAATTATAATGAAAATCTGGAGTGGCATGTCATTCATCTCAGTTCTGTGAAGTATTTTTCAGAAGAAGGGCCAAAGAAAAATTAACAGTGAGGAGGACATATTATCATAGTGCTATTATCAAAATAATAAAACATTGCCTCAAGTGAGGTGTTTGAGGAATTTAGGCATTAGTGTAATATAGCACATAGGGAGCCAGTGTGGTGCAGTGATTTGAGTATTGGACTATGACTCTGGAGACCAGGGTTTGAATCCTGGCTCGGCTACGTAAACCCACTGTGTGACCTTGGGCAAGTCATACTCTCTCAGCCTTGGAGGTGGCAATGGCACACTCCCTCTGAAAAAACCTTGCCAAGAAAATGCTATGATAGGTTCCCCTTCTTGTTGTGTGCCTTTAAATTGTTTCTGAATTGTGGTGACCCTAGGTGTGTGAGCCTATCATAGAGTTTTCTTGGTAAGATTTGTTCAGAGGAGGTTTGCCATTGCTTTCCCGTGAGGCTGAAAACATGTGACTTGCCCAAGGTCACCCAGTAGTTTTGGGGTCGTCATAAATCAAAAATGACGTGGAGGCACACAACAACAAGAGCAAGACACCCAGGGGTTTTGATTTCCAAAACATCACCCCTGTGGAGCTGATGGCATTATGTTTTAACACTTAGTTGAAGAACAGTGTCCCTTCAATTAACACCACATGGGAAATGAAACAAGTCATGGTAGCAGGTGACAAGATGTTGTGACATGATGTGCACACCTCTGTATAATACTGTTGACTGTCTCACCAAAATAGACCAAATCAGAGCTGCTTATGTTACCTCTATAGCACATGTAGCAGCTTTCTGTCTTCCATGCTATGTGCATATTTTGGCCAGCTGTTCCTGTCTCTTCTTCCCTCTTCATGCTTCTTCGGCTGTCTCTTTACTCTTCTATCTCCTGCATGGTGTCCACATCTCTTCAGTTACTTTTCTCTGCTGCATTCTGCTTGCTTCCATTTCTTACTCATCAGTTTCTGCAGCTCAAGTAGCTGGAGAGAGACAAAATTGTCCAATGTTGTGTATTTTTTATTATTGTTGTGTGACATTAAAGGGGCAAATATAATGTCAGATCAGTTCTAGATAATCTCTGTTTTCAGCAGCACCTTTACTTATTAAAAATGATACTAGAGGGGTGATAGCTGTTTTGAGCAAAGAGGAACTATATCTCAGATTGCATTTTATATTAACCTAATGCTGGGTTTGGGAGTTAGAGGTACATGGGTTTACTCAGAAAATAGCTCATGCATCTATGGCAAGATTGGGGGAAACCTAGTACTGGCTCTTAGGTATTATGTTTTGTTTTTAAATATTGTTTCATTCTGAGCAGTGTCTCCTGAATGTTGAAGGGGGAAGGCAGTATTGTTTTCACCTCATCTGAGTATAATCATGGGAAATCCACTCCTTCCCTCTACTTGTATTTCATGAATGAATAAACTCTGCTTATTCTGTAGTCTGTTCTCATTGTTAGTCCTAAAGTGGTATAAACTGAGCCATAAAGAAGCTTTGTAATGAACAAAACCCTTAGTATTTCATTAATGTTAGAATAAATAGAAGGCTATTTCTAATGTGCTAATCCTTTAATTATGCATGGGGATTTTACACAAATGGCCTTCCTGTGATCTGTGCAGGTACTTATGCAGTTTTGAAGAGTTATGTGCTGCTCTTGGTATGCTCTAATATCCAGCATTGCTGTTTTTTGGTGTTCTCCAGTCGTTTCCAACTTATTCCGACCCTCAGGCAAACTTATCATGGGGATTTCTTGTGAGATTTGTTCAGAGGTGGTTTGCCATTGCCTTCCCATGAGGCTGAGAAAATATGACTTGCTCAAGGTCACTTAGGGGGGAAGCAGACTGGCGGTACGGGGCCGCCCTGGGAAAGTGCGCCGCAAGACCGAGGCGTCCCCACGCCTCAATCCTGCGGCGCACCTTCGCTGCCCCTGAAAATAGCGCTCCTTTCACAAGTCAGCGAAAGTGCGCCCCAAAACGTTGCGGCACACTTTTGCCGACTTATCCGCTGCAGCGTGTATGGACGCTGCAGCGGGAGGTTGCCCTCGGAGCACCGGCCGTGCGGAGGGCCGACGGCTCCGAGGGCAACCTCGGGAGGAGGAAGGGGCGCCGAGCGTGCGGCTGCCCCTCCTCTTCCCTGCCTCAAGGACGGCTTTTTAAGCCGTCTGCCGAGGCCCTCAGTGGGTTTCATTACCCAGTGAGGATTCGAATTGTGGTCTCCAGAGTTTTAGTCCAACACTCAAACCGCTATGTGTTAGTGGTATATAGAGTGATAAGGCAGAAAGGGCTGGTGGAATTAAAGAAAGATGCTGATGAATTGAGCCAAAAGACTAAAAGACATGGCCCATCATCTCAACTCTTGTCAGTGGACCAAAAATTACATTTCTAGTTCAGGATGATTTACAACTGATAATCTTCTGGTGGTTTTTTATATTGCTTTGGCCCTATCATATTGTTTACTCTATGCCAGTAATTCTCAGTGTGCTAATGCACTTCAAACAATCTGCTAATGAGAAACAAAATCATAGATAAGAGAACATAAAAGTAATCAGAGTACTCTATCTCTTTGTTTAATCAAACTTGGGGGGGGGAGGTTGGATGGGATTGCAACAGAATTTTTTTTTTTTAGTGGAGTCTACATTTTGTGTCTCTGTGTGAGTCTTGGGGTGGGGACATTCCTCCTTCCTGTCAGCAGGTGTGTATGCAGAAATCTAGGAATTAAACCCTTTGGGAAGCTAGTAATTAATTTATACACACTATAAAACAAACTCTTTTTAGGTATAAACATAAACTCTGCATCATGTTTTAATGCAAAGTTGCCAGGTAGTTTTGAATCACTGGCCTAAACTCTGTACAGAAGATAACTTATATTTTTCCTATCCTTGTTTAGCACATTTGCTCACAGTTGGTGAATGACTTAATTCTTGAGGTGCTCCCACCTCCCACCCCTTGTTGATAATAATAATAATAATAATAATAATAATAATAATAATAATAATAGTTTTTATTTGATACCCCGCCCCTCTGAGCGCAATCGGGGCGGCTTACATCATAAAATCACAACAATAAGTAAGAACAATTCCCTCCCCCTCCCCCCCTTAAAAAGTTATTAAACCAATTTCAAATTAAAATAAAAAATAAAAGATAAATTCCTCCATACAACACAAAACAATACCTACGGAGGGATAAGTACTGGCGGTGCATAACCAGATGTTGTGTAATTTTACATAAAACACATTTCCAGTATGAAGGTCAGAGAGTTTCTTCCAAAGAAGTGGCCTCAGTTATTCATTTTGCTTTTCTGATTAGTTGAATGGTACTAAAATTTCATTTGTACTTCTGCAAAGCTATATTTAAAAATTGGGTTGTTCTTTAAATTCTCTCTCTACAACAATTTTTACAATAGAAAAATATTGCTTGAAAAATTGTGTCTCTTGTTTGTTCTTAAATAGTTAATTGAAGATTTTCATAACCAGTGATGGTGCAGTTTGCATTTCCATACAGTGTTCTTGTAACAGCTAGCTGAATAGTCCTTATCTGCAGGTGTGCTAGTGGAATGCACTTATTTTGGCACACCTATCTGTTCTTGAACATTTGTTTTAGTGAATGGTTTTGAGATATGTCTGTTGAAACTCAGGTTTGTGAAATGGAATTACACCCATTCTGTGTATATGGACAACTTAGGAAGCAATAAAAGTCCTGAGGCTGCAGCATTTGTTGGTGTTGTTCATGGTTGGGTTTATAAAGAGAAGCTTTCTGTCACTTCTGAAATTACCTCATCTTCTTTTGCCTCAACAGATGGTGTGCTATGATTCTTCTGGAGGTGGTCTGATGTGGAACAGAATTTGAAAGAATTTCAGGTACTGATATGAAATAAATGGTGTTTTTTCTGTATTTCAGAATTTCATGAGTCACAGTAACAGCTGCAAAGGCCAGATAGTATCTAATCTAGAGTTTCTTGTACAAAATAAGTCCTGAAATGGTTCCCTGGTGAGTGAGAAAAATACAGAATACTCTGTTCTCCTGAAATCTCATCAGTCGTTTTTCCTGCTTGTTTGTAAAAGCTGAACTCCTGGCATTTTCTTACTTCAGTGCTGTTAACTTTCATTACAATACTTACATTGGCATAAAGGGGAACCTTTGCTTTTATGTACACACAGTAGGGTGTTTATGTCACCAGTTCCACCAGTCCTTTGCACAAATATGTGGGCTTTAAAAAAGATCTGAGAGGGTATTTTAAAGGGGTGCTTCTGGGAGTGACTTCTACTCACTTTTGGCTTCAGGCCTTCCAGGCAATATAACCCTCAAGCCAGAAAAGGTTCTGCGCCCTTCATACACACAGTGCTCTCAAGCAGTCAAAGGACATTACATGAATTGATCACTAGTACTATCAGTCCTCCTCACTAAATATTGTACAATTTATCCATGGATTCAAGCATCCACGGCTTGAAAATATTCAAAAAATATATAAATTCTGAAAAGCAAACCTTGATTTTGCCATTTTATATAATGGACACAATTTTACTATCCATTGTATTTAATGGGACTTGACCATCCACGAGAGGTCTTGAAACCAAACCGTAGCAGATACCAAGGGTCCACTGCAATCCTTTCAACAGCTCTATAAGACAAGGCAGTATCCTTCCTCCTCTTCTCCCCCAACTACATAGGAGATGGACTGCAGTTCAGAAAATGGCTTCTTTGAGTCTACCTAGTGAGCTGGTGCAACACTAGAGATGTGAAAACTTAGGTGGAGAAGTAGGAACGAGAGTGGGAGGAAATGTTTTCTCTCATTTTTTTCAAGGGCAAATTTTCAGTGTTTCCTGTAGAAGAAACTGGAAACTTTGGGAAGTGTTAAACAAACCAACTCTGAACTATTTCCCCTTCTTAGAATGAGTGAAGTGCTTTCTAAGATGCCAGGAAACTGTATAGAATGAGGATTTGCATTTAAGACAATCACAGAACTAGGAGCCAGCATGGCATAGTGGGTTTGAGTGTTGGACTAGGACACCAGGAGACCAGGGTTCGAATCTCTGCTTCGCCATGGGAAACCCACTGGATGACCTTGGGCAAGTGACCCTCTCTCAGATTCAGAGAAGGGCAGGGGCAAACCTTCTCTGAATAAATTTTGCCCAGAAAACCCTGCCATAATTTTTTAAAAATGACTTAAAGGCACACAACAGAAACAGAGAACAGTTTCTGTATATTTATTTCTGTACTTTGTGAGTATTGCCATCTTCTTGAGAGGTACACACATTGGGTTTTCATTGCTTATGACAGTATACTATTGAAAAGTTGAATGCTTTCAGTGTTGAGTTATCCAAATATGCTGCTTGCCTAATCATTACGATTGTAATTGTGACTGTTTCTGTAAAAAAAAAATTGTTACAAAATTTATGGTTTGTGTTTTCATTCCTGTTTCTGGGAAAGTGAAACCTAAGACACATATGCTTAGGAAGCATAGGATAAAGCAGTTTGAAGCTTTCTCTTTAGTATATTCATACTTTTTTATATTAATAGAATCATAGAATCATAGAGTTGGAAGAGACCACAAGGGCCATCCAGTCCAACCCCTGCTATGCAGGAACTCCCAATCAAAGCATCCCTGACAGATGGCCATCCAGCCTCTGCTTAAAGACCTCCAAGGAAGAAGACTTTTTATATTAATATAATATAATACTTTTTATATTAATACTTTTTTATATGTTTTAGCCTGCATAAATATGCCAGATCATTCTAAGATAAGAATGAAACATTTTATGTGTCTTTAGTATTAAAATAAGGCTGCATTTTATATGAAAATGAGTATTGCATATGTTTCAGTTTTTCCTCAAATTTTTCATTTCCCCACTGCTTTGAAATTTCATGAAATGTTGTATCTCTGATGCTTGAAATATGAACCAAGGACTACCTGGATTGTCCCTTTGTTATTTATCCACAACACTATGCCAGCTCTCATGTCCTCAATAGTCCTTATCAGTAAACATTCTTGGTTATCCATAGCACTGAGTAATCTTTGGGTTTGGGGGCACAATTGTAGCCATAGCTGCTCTGTGTACATGTTACTTTCATAGTTATGTGCAGTCCTGCCATTATATATATGATTGCAAGTTGCATATTATTGTGGAGCAGAAAATTTGAATTTCTTTTGAATTAACACTGCAGCAAATCATCTTTGGTGTAAACTATCAACATTAACAGCATGGAGGTGGTATCAGCAGAAGTTAACAGCTTGCTTCCAGAAGAAATAATGGACACAGGTATAACGCTGGAAGATGATGAGAACATTGAGGCTGTAATTGTGGGTGAGAGTATTCCTATGGAAACAGAACTGGAAGGAGTGGCCAATGTAAGCTCAGTTGGTGATTCTACTACTGCTGCTACATCGTCAATCACAACAGAGATTGTTACAGTGCCCAGCAACTGTGTGAGCCACATCACTGGCAACACTGCTATTGCAAAAATTGACACTGGTGTGAGTGTACAACCTTCTTTTCAAAGCGGCCTCCAAAAACTGGGTACACAGACTCCTGTCACTATATCAGCTAATCAGATCATTTTAAACAAGACAACAGACTTGAAAATTAGTAAACAGTCTATAAAACAAGAAGGACAAAAGTTCATTGTAACAACGCTGGGGAAGCCTGGGCAGCCAATTGTTCTGGCTCTACCCCACAATCAGCTGTCACAGTCTCAGAAGGCCACGTCACAGGTGCAAACAAGTGACTCAAAGGTTTCAGCGCAGCAGTTTAAGGTGGTAACTATTGGAGGACGGGAAGAGGTGAAACCTGTCATTGGCGTGTCAGCTTTGACTCCAGGGAGTCAGCTAGTAAATCCTACTACCCAATCCTCTGTATTGCAGACTCAACAACTTAAAGCGGTGCAGGTAAGAAAGGGTTTTGTTAATTTGCTTTGTGATAAAATTGCTCTCTTAATGGGATGCCCATTTTGTTGTATGTGGAATATAGTTCAGCAGGTAAGACCTGAATATTATTATCAATAAGAGAGAAATTTGTGTTAAAATAAGGATGATGGATGATTATAAATAATATTATTGGTATATGGGGGTACCTCTCCCTATATGCACCTGTATGAATGCAATGATCTGCAGAGAGGGCTGTCCTCTGCATCTTTCTTTAGAGGGTGTATGTCATGTGGAGATAGCAAGAGAAAGCCTTTTTGGCTAGGGCATTACAGTTATGAAATGTGCTTTCCACAGAGGCCTGCTTAGTGTTCACGCTATTCTCATTGCAACATAAAATTCAGTCATGTTATTTACTCAGGTCTTTGAGTTTTGTTTTATGTGCTTGGATTATTAATGCCAATCTTATATTGATAACAATTATAACAACTTGTGGATTAATTGTTTATGGTCTTTTATTAAATTGTTTCATTGACTGTATCCCTACTCTGAAATCTAATGATTTAGGGTAGATTAGAAATGAAACAAATAAATAGGGAGTGCTGGGATTTGAGTTAAAGGATGTTTCTCAGAAATAATGATGAAGATAAGTAGAAATTATCATAGAATCATAGAGTTGGAAGAGACTACAAGGGCCATCCAGTCCATGCAGGAACTCTCAAAGCATATCCAACATAGCCATCCAGCCTCTGTTTAAAGACCTCCAAGGAATGGGACTATACCACTCTCCGAAGGAGTGTGTTCCACTGTTGAATAGCTCTTATTGTCAGGAAATTCCTCCAAATGTTTAGTTGGAATCTCTTTTTCTTGAAGCTTGCATCCATTATTCTGGGTCCTGTTCTCTGGAGCAGCAGAAAACAAGAAGGTTAAGAGGTAATATGACATCCCTTCAAATACTTAAACAAGGCTATCATATTACCTCTTAACCTTCTCTTCTCCAGGCTAAACATACCCAGTTCCCTTCCTCATAGTGCATAGTTTCCAGACCCTTCACCATTTTAGTCACCCTCCTTTGGACACACTCCAGTTTTTCAACATCCTCATTGGTTGCAGTGCACTGGAGAATGATTGGTCCTTGTAAAGGGAAAGTGAGAATGAATAGGAAGGAATGTATATAGATAAATGCAAGAAACAAAACATGTGCAATAGTGTAAATAGTGTAAATCTAACACAATGGTTAGTTTTCATTTTGGCTCCCCTAGTGTTGCACTGCTGTTCACATCACAACAAATGACCCTCTGCATCCAAAGATAACAGTAGAACTACACAGGTGCAGAACAGTTCTGTTTTGTGATCAGCTAATTTTTGTTAGTTAGAATCACAGATTCATAGAATCATAAGAGTTGGAAGAGACCACAAGGGCCATCCAGTTCAACCCCCTGCCATGCAGGAACTCAAAATCAAACCATCCCCAACAGATGGCCATCCAGCCTCTGTTTAAAGACCTCCAAAGAAGGAGACTCCACCACTCCGAGGGAGTGCGTTCCACTGTTCGAGCAGCTCTCAATGTCAGGAAGTTCCTCCTAATGTTGATGTGGAATCTCTTTTTCTGTAGCTTGCATCCGTTGTTCTGAGTCCTATTCTCTGGAGCAGCAGAAAGCAAGCTAGCGCCCTCCTCAATATGACAGCCTTTCAAATATTTAAACAGGTCTATCACATCCCCTCTTAGCCGTCTCTCCTCCAGGCTAAACATACCCAGTTCCCTAAGTCGTTCCTCGTAGGGCATGGTTTCCAGACCCTTCACCATTTTAGTCACCCGCCTCTGGACACGCTCCAGTGTTTCAACATCCTTTTTGAATTGTGGTGCCCAGAACTGGACAGAGTATTCCAGGTGGGGCCTGACCAAAGCAGAATATAGTGGCACTATTACTTGATATAAATCCAACAATGTCACATTGATTTCTTTACATTTACCTCTGTTTCTGGTTATTCTCCTCCTCCCATTTCCTCAGACTGTAATTCTGCAGAGAGTTATGCCAAGTCTAAAGAGGGTTTCTGTGTAATTGAACAAGAAAAAACTGAATGAATGACGTTTATTGGGTTTCTCTATCCTTTTTTTTTCTTTCCAGATTGCAAAGAAAACTAGGACACCCACCTCAGCGCCAGTAATAACAAAGTTGATCTTCACAAAACCAATCAATAGCAAACCTGTTACAGGACAGACAACTCAAGTGTCACCAGTCATTGCAGGTTTTTATATATATATTTGTATCTTCTTGCCTGATGGTGTTTTTCAGGGGTGTGAATGTCAGTTGAGTTAGAGATGTGACTGGATAGTAATGTAGAGGCTTTTCAAGACCATTATTCCTTCCCATTGTTTCCAAATCCCCACAAATAAGTTACTCTTGAACCCAGGGGATCATCTAGGGCAGGGGTTCCCAACCTTTTTGATTTGGGGAGCCCTTTTTAGAATCAATTTCTATAGTGGAGCCCCTAAGAGGCCTAACCTATGTCTTACAAGTTAATGGTGGAACCAGTGATCTAAGGTGAAATTTGATGTTCTAAGGGGACGTTGATAACTCCAATCTTATATATTCACAGGTGTACTTTCTGAGCATGGGCTGCTTAGATCCTAACCAAAGAATGAATCTTCATCCCCTGCTTCAGAACATAACAGCAGTTTGTTATTTCTCCCTCAGCTGTTCAGATCATAGGCAGACTTTGTATGAATACAGTCAACTTATCATGTGATAAATGTAGGAAACAGCATGCTTATTAAGTATGTACTATAGTGGGAGAATACACTTTGTCACTGGCTTTGAACTATTTTGTGGCTACTGTTGGTCTGCACTTGGCTACTGACCAGTTCTGTTATAACAATGAGTTAATCATACCTCTTCCTCCATGCATTGCTTCAGCACTTGATCAGTACTTCCTGACATTTTAAGATAACAGATGATTTAATATGTTCTGATTTATGAGCTATTTAAAAGATTCTGTTGCTGTCACACTTCATATTCTTCTTTTGGTAAATGTAAAGTGAACATTGTTTTAGAGCAGGTTTGGTTAAAGGAGTTGAATTTTTAGCAGATTGTCACATGGGCTGACCACTGAGTGGTCAGAGTGCCACCTGATTGTGATTCAGATAGCCTTTGTTGGAATGGCCATTAATGATGAAGTGA